TAGATTTTGGATACTAGCCCTTTATCTGATATGTCATTTGCAAATATTTTCTCCCATTCTGTTGGTTGTCTTTTGGTGTTGTTGACTGTTTCTTTTGCTGTGCAAAAGCTTTTTAGATGATCAGGAATTCTTATATATGTGTGTATTTTGCCCACATTTTGTATCATGTTTCCATTGATATCTTTCCCTGATCTTCATGCACAGTTGCCAGGGATTTTGTAGGTTTTTCCATCTGTACCATACTTGGGGGTGAGGATGGGCTCACAGTGTAGGGGTATGCCCATGCCCTTGTCTTTATCACAGTCCAACTACCTGGAGAAAGAGAGCTTTTTTGTACAAAGAAATGAGCTTCTGAGGATTCAGTTCTGCTGAGGAGATGTGAGTGAGATCAGAGGAAGAATGAGAAGGACTGAGGTAGCCAAAAGTTTGAAGGCAGTAGGGGAGAGAGGGGTGAGCAAGTAGAACAATATGGAAATCAGACTCCTAAGAAGGTATAAACAACTGAAGATATATAAGAAAGATTAGTGAGGAGCACTGGGAAAACGCAGGTGTTTGTTTAAGACAGGGCAAACAGTGTCAGGTTGCAGGAGTAGATCAAGACCAAGAAACGGAAAGATAGGAGAAGCTGAAGATCTAAGAAGGTGGGAGGAATTGACATGATGAGAAGAGCACAGCAGACTGAGAAACCTGTGGGGATGTGGGCAACTCAGGCATGGGGATGCTCCACACTCACAAGCAGGTGTGAGCAGCTCAGGAGAGGATCACACCAGGAGGGCTGGGAGCTTGGAACCAGGAAGTGAGAGCCGCTGAAGGTGGCAAGCAACTGAAGAGGGCTAAGCCAGCAAGACCATTTGACCACCTATTCTAGGCCCTGTCCAGATCACAACTTCTCCCTATCTGCTACTTTTACCTCAGCAGCTTTGTTTGTCTAAGATACTTCCCTATCTTTGCTCTTCTTCACAGTTTCCATAATTGACTTGACTATGGTCTGGCTTGACCTTGACTTTGAACTTGACTTTGAATTTGACTCTGATTCAGACCCATATTTTATCCCAATCATCCAGACCATGTTAGGTGCATTGTGATCATGGGGACAGAGTCTGTACTTATGTGATTATATAACACTTTAGCAGTAGACTATAAATGCAGGCATGATCTAATTGTTTATAAGCCTTTTCATACCACTTTTATGGAGTTACCATCACTATGGATTCCCTCTCTCTTCTTCTTCTTTTTTTTTTAGATTTTATTTATTTATCTGAGATAGAGAGAGAGTGAGAGAGAGAGAGAACAAGTGGGGGAGAGAGGGAGAGGGAGAAACAGGCTCCCCACTGAGCAGAAAGCCCAATGCGGGGCTTGATCCCAGGACTCTGGGATCATGACCTGAGCCAAAGGCAGACACTTAACCAACTGAGCCACCCAGGCACCCCTCCCTTTCTCTTCTTGAGTCTATGAGGAGATAAGGTTTCCACAGACCTCCTTGTATCTTTAGGGAAGCCTGTAGGTGGGCAGGACTATCCTCTTTCAATCTCTGGGCCAAGAACAGTTCTGGAGCAAGTGAGGGAAAAAGTGAACACGGGGAGGAGAAAATGAGGACCATGAAAGTATACCAAGGCCTAATCTGGGTCACTAATTTCTTGTGAGCTATGCCTATCACTGAAGACTTCCTCAAAGTGTTGTGGTCACATAAGCATCCTCTATAGAAGGAACTCCAGCTTCATCACTAAGAATGAATTAGAGGTCTCTGTATTTAAAACAAATGTACAGTTTGCCAGTACGGTCAATGTTGTCTTGGTACGTAGTGGTATCTGCATTTTACAGTTATGGAAGGCAAGTGTTAGATCAAGCAATGTAGTAATCAGTGCCAAAGATATTCTATTAAGGCTCCAGCAGGAGGTTAGCAAGGTGAGAGACAAGAAAGGAGAAATTATGGAATGCTCATGGAAAGAAATGGGCAGGAAAATCTTCCCTCCAGGGTTGACTTCTTATAATGAAGGAGGTGCCCCTCTAAGGAACTTTGGAAAAGAGACTAATATAAAGGACCAGTATGGTCCAAAGGCTAGTTCCCAGTGGCAGGTACTGATTAAGGAAAGTAAAGACTCCAGGAGAGGGTAAGTTGTTCACTGATGTGTGTGTGTGTGTGTATGTGTGTGTGTGTGTGTGTCTTGGAATTTACTTGGCATTCTTCATACAAAACTTTCTCCTAAAGAAGATTAATATATCCCTCAGTTTTATTTTTAAACTGAGATATTACATCCCAATCTAAGAAACAAATACAAGCAGAAGGAAAGATAAACTCTCTGGGGAGATTCTTTTATTGAGGTACAAAAAGAAGCACGGAAGTCAGTGAGGCATGAGTTTGAGGAAGACCACAACAACTTTCTCCACTCAACAAAGATGACTCTGAATCTGTCTCTGCCCCTACCCAGAGCACTGGCCAAGATGAGGGAAAAGGCAGTCAGAGCCTGGGGATGATGACGATGACTGTGAAGATACCATCGCTCTGTACCCATGTCTGTGGAGAAGTTAACATCTTCCTTCATGAAGAAGCTGAACTTTTCCATTACTTTTCCTATGAGAAAACACATAACAAGATTCATTAAACAAGAGGAAGTGTTATATGTCAGAGCCAAAAGGAGCTATAGAAATTATGAGGCAGAGTTTAATGTTATAGATGAAGAAACTGAATCCCTGAAAAGGAAGGTCCTTGCCACAGGCAGTTTCTGACAGAGACAGAAGCAGAGTCTCCCTAGTCCAGTGATATTTCCACCCTACCTACTGCCTCCACTGATCGCAGAACTGGGGCCCATCAACCAATATCTTACAATAACAATGGAGGAGGACACGGGAAGCTGAGGTGGCCTGCCCCTCAGTCTTTCCTGGCCAGCAAGGCCTGTGATGAAGCTGGGTCCTGCGTTAGAACTGCCACCACATGTCCCCTTCAGTGTCCTTGAACACAAGCCAGCTTCTAGGCCAAGAGCCCAATGCGTGTGCATATTAGAGAATCTTCCCTTTTGTGAATTTTCCCTGTTCCTGAATAGAAATAAAGATGCAGACATATCCTTCTGAGCTCAGGGCCCAAACTGATACTCTAACTTGTTTAGATAATCACAAAGATGAAAAATACAAGATCGAAGATGGGTAGCCAAAATCCAGTGGTCTAAAGGAGACTTAATAATGAACAAAGTGGACTTAGTGTAAGGTAAGAAATGCTAAGGTGCCTGTTCTGCATTAAAGAAGTGACAACTACCTAGTTATATTGCCTTCCAGAAATACTTCACAGGCCAAACAAAAATACCTAAGCAAAACATGCCCATGGGACCCAGGTCTAAGCACTGACAGCTTGCATCTCCCTCTTTTAGATAAGAGAAAACAATTTTTGTGGTAGCCTTCTCCTCTTCCCCCATAAGGCTACAGTTATTTAGAGCCCCTAGGAATTTGAGAAGGATAAAGGCACTCTAGCCACAGTTTGTCTAAGAATCAAGCAGTATGGCCTCACGTCTCTTAGAAATCATGTAGGATAGTGGTTTTCAATGATTATTTATTATGGGGGTCAAGATCTTTTCTTCTAACAAGATACTATGTAGAACTCCACTACCTAAAATAGCCAAAAGCTGAACTTGGGGTTGGAGATCACCCCCAGATGATCCCCTTAGCCCCCTTGCCTCTATAGAACCTCTGGGCTCCTGGTCTTACTGGATTCCCTCAACTGAGACAGGAATTGGCAGTAGGGTGATGGATGAACTAGTTCAAGCTGGCAGAGCAGGTGGCCCAAACCTCGCCTGACTGTGAGACAGACAGTTTTCTCTCTCTACCAGCTGCTTCTGGGTGGGAATAAGTGCAGCTTATGGAGAGTGAAACGGGCTCATAGAGGAGAGGTTTGCAGTGGAGGACACTGGCCGCAACTTCTTTTTTCTTCCCACAAGGTACTCACAAGTTCTCAATGCATAGGTGGCATTCATTCCCATAGGTGATGTAGTCAGAACCACAAACGGGCAGGTATGTGATGGGGCAGGGGATGGCCACCACTGGGTACTTCTTATAAATGCTGCAGTCCACCTGCTACGGACACAAGAGAATGTTCTAGGCTATGCTGGCCTCTGTTGGGCAGGAAGCAAAATACCATCCTAGGGGTCCCAGGTCAGATATTCTGATGCTGCTGTGGCTACTTCTATTAATAATATTATCACCATGACAAATACTCATACTGCTGTCCCCACCTCTGTTACTACTAGCATACGCTGTTAATAATTCCTGAGCATTTCCATGCTAGCCTTTAAGCTTAAAGTATACATGATTTTTTTTTGTTTAGTATTCATAACAACTGAATAGGGTAGGTTCTACTGTTACACCTATTTATAGGTGGGTGAAATTCAGGCTTAAAAACAGAGAACTTGCATAATGTAAAAGCTAGTCAGTGATGGGGTTGGGATTTAGATCTAGAGCCTGTGCAGTTAACCATGGTGACTCTGTCCTGCCTTACATGTTGTCCTTTCGATGAAGACTTTGCCAACCTCTCAGCTGGAAGTCATCTCTCTCTCCTTTAACATGGGATATTTTTTAGTCTACAGTTACTCAAATGTATGTCATATTTCTTCAACTGCCTTCTGGAAAGAAGAGGAGATTTTTTAATCTGTGCCCACCTCCTCCTTTGCCCCCTCCCCAAACACGCTGAATTAATTCTACATATATATTTCAAAACCTTTTGTTGACTAAATGACAGTCAATAGGAATTGAAATTAAAATGTAAATCAATATACTCACTGTTGTTGAAGGCAGACTAGCAGCTTCTGAAAGAGAGTTACAGATGGAAATGTTAAAAATAAAGCAAAGACTTGAAGTCTCATGAATTAATGTTAATTTGGGCCTATGGATTGAAACTCTGTATTTGCTCTGGTGATGAATCTTAGCACACACTCTGTTCTTATATAAAACTCCAGCTATTTGCTGAAGAAGCCAAATGGCCAGTAAGGTAAGCCCTTTATTCAGGTAGGAGAATTAACCAGTTTCCTCCCTTTATTGACCATGGGGCATTTTCTGGAGTTTATCATGTCTTTGATAATGATTCAAAGTCAGATAGCAATAGAAAGTATTGCAGTCACCCCTCCTAAGAGCCTGAAGTGCCGCCATCTTTGATAGTCTCCCCTCTGAATTGATACAAAGAAATGTAATGGAATGTCCTTAAGGTGTTAGACTCTTAATTTATTTATATAATTGTTACCATATAAAAGTCTAATTGTTCACTCCTGGGCTTTGGAGAATTGCTTTATTTCAGTCCTCCTGGATTGATTTGGAGAGACATCCAAGTTTTTCTGTGTCAATGCACTGAGGATAATATCTAATAACACCAGCCACTTCCAGTGTCCTTATGGAATGGTAGACTTAGGAAGAAATTAGTTCTTTTTTTCCCTATGGCTCCATGGATGAAAATAAAAATCCTTGAAAGGGAAAACACTGGACTCAACCGCCTTCCCCCAACACCTGTTGGTACATAAGAGTATCCCTTCCCAGGCCAGGGTTGTTTGTATTCTAAGCCAGTACACTTTAAATCTACATGACCAGATATTTTCCTCCAATGCTGAGAAGGGGTTATTTGGGAAGACAAGCTTAATGGCTACACAGGCCCCTCTCTGCCCTTAACTCACCCGAGTTGCTGAAGAAATGAGTCATTGTGCAGAGCAGAAGGAGCCCCCCGATGATCTTCATGGTGGAGACGGCTGTGATGCAGAGGCTCTCAGGGCTGTCACACCAGCTACATCAGCCATACCCTAGGAAAGGGGTCAGGTTTATATGCCAGTTCTTGGTTTCTCCACCTTTCCTGTGAAGTCATCCTGAGTCAGTGTTGGCTCTGAGAGGTTCTCAAGGCACAATGTCACACCTTGGGTGGTGTTACTGTTCTTGTCACTTAATTGCTACTTATTATCTGACCGAGAAATTGATTATTTAAGGTGAGAAGTATTTTCCTGTCTGCACCAGAGGTGGGGACTGTTATTTAGAATTCTCAACTTCAAGTAGTAGAAGAGATTAACTACTGGTTGCTTGGCCTAGTTATGAAATAAGTAAAAACTTCAAACTTTTTTTTCACCAAATAAAGAATATTAGATTCAGATTGGATAGATCACACTTAGGTTTATATTCTGCCTCCTGGGAAAATACTGTTTCTTTTTGAAGCAATGGACATAGGAAGCAAGCTGGGACCTGGTGGGAGGAACACTGACCTTAGCGTTTATGAGACTTGGAGAAGGGCATTGACATTTTCTAGCTGTGTGACCTTGGGTGAGTATTTATGTGCCATGAGCCTGTATCAGTCAGAGAGACCTGTTTATGCTGTGCTAACGTATAACCTAAAGATTTCTGTGACTTAATATATGTTTGTTTTTTACTCAAGCTATCCACATACAGTTGTCAGCAGATGGTGCCATATTGCCTTCAATGGATCCCAAGTGGGCTGAGTAGTTTTGTAATATCGTTCATTGTCAAGGTGAAGTGAAGATGTGTTCTTGAGAATTTCCATTTTCAGCAATTATATATTCCCCTAAGAAGTGACACTACTGTCACCTTCTCTCAGCATCAAGTGACCTAGCTCAACCAGAGAGGTTACAGTGTGATCTTATCTTGTCCCTTGAAGACCAGAAGGGAGAGAACTGGAAAAATAGTTGTCAAAAAATACAGAGACCATCCCAGAGCCTTAGTTTCATGCCTTGTCAAGTGGGACCTACTGCTAACCACAATAGAATTTACAGAAAAGGTGTCACCTACATGAAAGTCTGTTCTAAAATGCAGTGCACGTCATTGTTATTATGATTTTAATTATTACCAATGATCAGTCAAAAGTCTCTGCTATGGGTTGCTGACATTAGATTGTAAACTGGATTGCCCAAACACAATTGTCCAATTAGCTGCTTTTTGTCTGTTGGACTTGAGGGCATATGCATGAAAACCTGAAGGAAGGCAGTGGACTCTTCCACCAGTCTTTTGCTTGGTGGGTTTATTTCAGTACATTCTGAAACAGAGAATCTGCAAAGATAATAAGCTAATAATAAATGACATTGCATGGTTCCCTAAAATTTTGACTTTTACATCTGTTTGGGAAGGAATATAATGTAGTAGTTAATAGGGGCATTGCATTCAGAAGGTCTTATTTGGAAGTCTTGCTTCTAATAATTGTTGATTTTATGACTTTAAGTATACAGATTAAGCTCTAGGTGTTTTGATTTCCTCATCTGTAACATAGAAATAATATTTACCTCCCAAAATGGCTTTAAGTATTGAATGCAGATACACACACACACGTGTGTGTGTGTGTGTGTGTGTGTGTGTGTGTGTATCAGAGTACCAAGATTATACTTAGAGCTTCATACATGGTAGCTAGAATATGGAATGTGATCTTCAGGACAACTCATTGAGGAAGGAATTTTTATTACCCTAATTTTACCAGTGAGTAAGTTGAGACTCAGAGGATTTAAGCAATCTTCACAAGATCATGATACTAATTAATGGGGGAGACAATTTTGAGTTCAGTAATGGAAAAGAAGAGAAGTGAATGCCATAATAGAGTTCATTATAAGTTTTATTGTTTGCTATGATAGTTTGAAGACAACGAATACTGAGAAAAAGCCATTATGTTTCAAGAAGAGTTATCTTTGTTGCAGTTTGAAAATGCATTTAGCAAAGAGGAGTGGGAATTGGTTCAAAGGGAGATTAGGATGAAGTAGAGAATAGCATTATAATTTTTTCAGATATTTGATGGTCAAGGAGAGGAGGGAAATGAAAGAAGCTAAGGCTTCAGCAAAGTCTAGGATAGATTGAACCTGTCTTACAGCCAAAGGGAAGAAGGAATTTAAGACACATGGTAGAGGGTGGCTAATTACAGCATTACAGAAAACTGTAACTTGTCCTAAAGATCACATTATATATATATATATATATACACACATATAATCTCATTCAATACTCAAAGCCACTCTGGGAGGTAAATATTATTTCTATGTTACAGATGAGGAAATGAAAACATCCAGAGCTTAACCTGTATCCTTAAAGTTGCACAGTCAACATTGTAAGGTAGACTCTGGCTGTTAAGTTCTGGGGTTGTCTTTTGCAGTAGAAAAATTGGGTTGGTCTGGAAGCTGGAGAAGGATGGAGAGGCTTGGTACAGACATCAGTGGAAGACTGTCAGATAGTCAACAGTGGATATGAAAATTAATGGCCACTAGACAAAATCACCACTAGATTTTTTGCAGGTTCAGTCAGCACCATGCTGAATATTTCTCCCTAAATATATTATCACATTGAGTAAGAAATGAAAAAAAGGTGACTTTCTGGATAGGGAATGTGTACATCAGAGACTGGAGGGGAGCCATAAGGATGGCCATAGGCTCAGAAGAGAGTCAAGGGTTTGAGAAGGTTCTGAAAGACTATGCAAGGTGTGAATAGTTAAGAGTTCAGAAGTCAGAGTTCAGAATACATGTAGACTTAATAGTAGTAGTAAGTTTGGGGAATATGAACAATTGTTTATGGAGGCTATGGTTAGTAGGCAAAATGCCCGATAATTTCTCAGAGGTGGGGCTGAAATAGTAATCCTCAGGGTGTATCCAAATATAAAGCAGATAAAAGATTGGTGGAAATAAAGTTCTTTGGATTTAAAAATGTGAGGAAAAGTGAGGTCAAATGATCAGGTGTGGGTGGGTTGCTTAGGTTTGGGCAGCTGTTTACATAGAAATTTTTAAGTTGCACAATGAACCATGAATTAAAGAGGGAGGAGCTTTTGGAGGTGAAAGGTGAAGCTTGAGAAGACAAAAAGTCATCCGTTTAGGCTGGGGGCAGTGTCTTTATTCCTCTTAACCTTCCTGCAAGGAGGGAAAACTTGAGACCTTGTCAGATTATGACCATGGTTCCATTCTAGGGAAGGCAGGGTAGAACTAACGTGGAAAAACATAAAAAGGAAATGAGAGAAAAATCTGAGAGTATTAGGGATTTCTTCCCCAATGGATTTAAGGTGCCACGGGGAAGGGAAAGATGACCCATCAGAAAGTTAGAGATGGGTGGTAGAATTAAACTGGTGCAGGACCTGAATAAAGATGTTTTAGGTCAGTTAGCTAAAGGGAGATAAGGAAGCCAGCACCACGGCTGGGCAGTAATCCAGGTATAGGATAACGGCTGTAAGAAAGGAAAGGTACAATAAGAAAATTAACCATATATTATGCGCTTACTATGTGCTGGAACTCTGCTACATTTGGTGTGTGTATTATCTCATTTAAGATTTAAAATAATCTTCTGAGATTGGTGTGATTATTTGTCCTGTTATATAGCTGAGGCAACAGGCACTTAGAGAAATGGCTAGTTTCAGTTTAAAAGCCAATGCTTTTTAATCACTCGGGTGTATTGCGGTTAAATCTAAATCTAAGAGAGAGATTTGGAGACACGTTGGAAATTGGAATATTCCTTTTCCCTCACCTCCTCTTCTCTTCCTCCCCTTCCTCCTCCTCCTCCTTCTTCTTCCTCTTCATTTTTGATGTAGCCCTCACTGTATTCATGCCTTTTTGTGTACTGGGACACAATGACCTAGAGATCTGGATATTTGCATTTTGATCTTGTGTGTGGCAGGACCTTTTTCCTTGCTTTTCATGGGAACAAGGAGTTCCCATAGGATCCAGGGATCCTATGCTTTGATTCTCTTTAATTTTCTTTGAATTGCTGAGGCCAAATAATTTCAATTATGGGACAAGATGATGTAAATAAAGGGTGACAACCCTCTTCTATTGGTTCATTTTGCTCCAATGTGACCTCACACTATCTGGATTTAGATTTTACACATACACACACAGCTTCCAGCTCCTATTGGTAAAATCATGTCTTTTTTTTTTTTTTTTTGCCATGTGCTACTGGTTTATTTATTCATTTGAGCTTATCATTTCATTTCTGTTTTTCTAAGCATCAATTAAAAATAACAACAAAGTAATGTCTTCTTTGCTCAGTGCTGAAGGGAACACTGTTTCTTTTGGGAGGATCCACAATGCACTTTATTTTATTAAAGGCTCCGTTAAATGTTCTCTAATACTTTAACTCAGTTTTCTCCAAACTTAATTTGCCATAGTTTACTTATTATTTTACAAACATTAAACAACATCTGCAGAGATGTTAGTGTTTTCTTTAAGACTGAGAACAAGGATTTGCTCTAATTTCCTATAAGGTCATGATGTCCAATATAAAGGAAGGTTACCAGGGAAGATCACTGATTTTTTGGTCTGTTTGGTTTCCTCAGCAATTCTTCATCATATTGAAGAGAACTCCATTTCTGTACGGCTTCTGTATGGCTTTCTAGTTCTCCACAGTGGAGACCAATAGAATGGGTCTGCTCTCTCTTTCCAAGTCTATCCCTTCAGATATGCAAAGGCAGCTCTGGAGGGTCTAGTCAAAGTCCTTTTTCTCCAGATGACACAGATCAACTTCTTTAATATTTCCTTTACAGTATATAATCCCTTAGGTTCTCTAGACCCTGACATATTAACACAACATTACTTAATAACAGTGAAACACAAGTCATAATCAACCTCACCATTTCCCTTTGCTATTCTGGTCAGTGTCATCCCCACTGGAGATACAGAGAGAAATAAGGTAGACAAAAATTCTACTTCTTGGAACTTCCTTTCTTGTAGAGTAGAAAAAGGAAAATAATAAAAAAGTAGTAAGATGATTTCATATTTTGACAAGTATTTAAAAGAAATTGTATCCTGGTATTGGAATAAAGAGTAATATGGAAATAAGAAACAAATTACATTGAATTATTAAAGAAGGCTTCCCAGAGCCTGAATGTTGAGGACAGACACCTGAATGATGACAAGGAGCCGTTCTGGAAAAGCCAGGGACTCAGTGGTGCAGAGAGAAGAGCTAGTGTGATGGCCGTCGGCACATCAAGCCTATTGAGGGATTCCACTTTCTCCAGTTCCAAGATTATATAAAATGGCAGCTTTTGTTTTAAAAGAGTCAACTTGTAAATCAGTCAGGCTCCAGCCCATGTCCTCTGTGATTAGGCTACATGTTTTCCACTGAATTCCATATGAGATTGGATTACAAAATTCTTTCATCTATTTTTTTCTTCTTCAGATGGTCTTTTCTCCACTCGTCTCTCTTCTTACTATTTCCTATTACAAACTGTCCTCCTGGTGACTTCAGTTAGAGTCTGCGTCTAGGAGTTTATGGCCTCAAACATCCATTTCGTGTCTACTTACTGAACTCTTATTATATGCCTCACTTGTTATTATATGACCTTGTTTTATTCATTTTCATCACAGCATTCATTGTTACCTGTTATTGCCTGTTCCTTTATTTGCACATTATTCATCTCTCGCCACTGGGAGGCAGGTTCCACAAGAACAGGATCTTGCCTGACTTGTTCGTTTACTTCTACTAGCACCTAATATAGTATTTGCAGAGTAAGAACTACACAAATAATTACCAAATGAATGAATGGATAGTTTTAAGATTCCTCATCATTAGTCACAAGGTAAAGTAACAACAGAATTCATCCAGCATTGGGAAGAAATCATCTGGTTTGCATCAGTGAATTTAAAAAGAAATAAAGCATACCTCACTGGAACTTAAACAAATTTTTCATCATTTTAGATTGAACCTAACTTCATTAAGAAGAGGACACTGTGAAATATTCAACACATTCTCCCCCACTTTGTTGCCCGTATGACTCAGAAATCTCCTTTAAGTTGAAATCACTGTTGTCTGAGGGAACAAGCGCTCTTTCACAGAGCCCCCTGCAGGGGCGAAGTGCAGAGGATAAATGCACTCTGCGTGCTTCTCAGCTGCTACCACCACGGTATCAATGCCAGGGATCCGCCAATCCTAGTGGTGCCCATAAATCTATAAAAAGATTTATCAGCTAAGCAAAAGTTTCCATGAATTAAGGTTATACCTACATACTTTACGAAGGGTACTACCTAAATGTAGCACGTCCAGAGCAGATGGCCAGGCTAGAAAGAAATACATACCTGTGTCCGCATCTTGCTTCTCTTTCCAAACTTATCTCACTTCGACTCTCCTGCCTGAGGGCAATTAAGGTCCATTCCTTAATTTTTATTTTGGTGGAGTTACTGTTCTACTGTTCCATTTCTTTGGTCTGCCTTTTATTATTTTTGAAAATAGAGATGGAAAGATGAAAGAGTAAAATACTCTCAAGTTACATAAGATGATCAAAATTAGCAAGAGAGGGTCTATATTTTAGGAGACTCTTGGAGAAAACGGAAAGACCTGAAACGATTTCCCCAGCTCCAAAGAGATCCACCCTGATGGACCCTACTGACCAGGGACCCCGGGGGAAGGAAGATGATGTAAGAGAACAAAGGCCCTGTTGCCAGCAGAACTGAGCTGTGTATTAGCTGGAAAGGGGATGGAGAAAGCTGAGCTGTGGGGACCCTTCTGGTTGAAGAACTGGTCAGAGTAAGATAGAAGAGTGAGGCTGACATCTAGTGGCAGCAACAGGTAATGGTACAGAGCCCACTGAAGCCAAAGGCTGATCACTTTCCCCAGCCTCAAAAATATAATGATGGCTTCAGCTCCCTGTATTAGTCAAGATCTTTCAGTTATAAGTGACAGCTTATAAGATGGATTAAGCAAAAAAGAAAAGTGAATTTATTGACCGATGTAGTAGGAACAATGGAATGGAGTAAGAATTAAAAATGCTAAAACTAGGGGATCAAATGGTATCCATTCTTCCTCTCAAAAACATACGTTCCCTCCAGAAGTTCTTGGTACTCCTCCCTCCTTCTATTAGCATATGAACACTTTTTTCTCTAATGAAGGTGAACTTCATTTATGAGTACAAGGTAGAAAGTCTCAAGCAGCTGTTTGGATGTGTGTGTGAGATGTTTTCTTATGCTCGCTCGTGTCTTCAGGTGAGATTAGTGGGACAGGGTCGGATCTCACAGGTGAGCCTGCACTTTGGGGTAAGTTTATATCGGGGAGTGTCAGTAACACCACTTGATGACAGATCTTAGACGCAAGTAAAATGAAAGCTTATTTTAAACAATCAGTACACAGGGGTAAATACCACCTCTTGCATTATTATATTTATTTGTAAGAGATGTGTCACTTGGTTCTCCATTAGTTTGATTCCTTTATTTTCAGTTTTGTTCCAAATTTGGGTGTAGCATAGATGTGTTTTTTATCATATGCCTTTAAATTCCAAAAGAAATGATTTTCGGAATTAAGTAGTGAAACGAATAAGCAGGTGTAGTACTCCGGTACTCATTAGTCACATTTTCCATATTTATAAAATTTAATATGAGGACCAAATTCCCTAAAGAGAAGACATTTTTTAAAAAGGAGATTAGTATCATAAGGAAAGTGGGTATTGCTTCACATTCTCTCATTTTCCAAATATAGTCCTGAGAAAGGGAGCTGCTTAGCAATTCCCTTTATATCTGTCTCTTTTCCTGCTGATCACCCCACATTCCTCCTCTATCTCTTAATTATTCAAAATGGTGTTCTATGAAGTTTTTCAACAGAGAATCTTTCATCTCATAACTCATTCCCATTTTGATACCTTTTTTTTAAAGATTTTATTTATTTATTTGACAGAGAGAGAGAGAGCAGGAACACAAGCAGGGGGAGTGGGAGAGGGAGACACAGGCTTCCCGCTGAGCAGGGAGCCCGATGTGGGGCTCGATCCCAGGACCCTGGGATCATGACCTGAGCTGAAGGCAGACACTTAATGGCTGAGCCACCCAGGCGCCCCCCATTTTGATACCTTTTGATTCAACATAGCAATGCCAGATTTTTTTTTTTTTACCGAGAGGTAAAAGATAACCATAACAAGAGTGCTATGGATAATAATTCACATAATTCATGCTCTGTCCAAATTTTCACCAGGTTTACACTGCTCATAGACTACAGTCTATTCTCCTTACCCTGCTATATATTTTTCCCAGAAGGCTAGCCTCTGCCTAACCTTCCACCTTTATTTATTTATTTTATTTATTTATTGACAGAGAGAGAGACAGCAAGAGAGGGAACACAAGCAGGGGGAGTGGGAGAGGGAGAAGCAGGCTTCCTGCTGAGCAGGAGGCCCAATGTGGGGCTCGATCCCAGGACCCTGGGATCATGGCCTGAGCCGAAGGCAGAGGCTTAATGACTGAGCCACTCAGGCGCCCCAGCCTTCCACCTTTAGATATTACTCTTCCCTAATACATAACATTCATTTCAACACAATTTTTCTCTTTATTATTTCCCTAAAGACACCACACATTTTCTCAGTTCCAAATGTTTTCCCAAGCAGAGTGCCCTGTATAAATTGCCCATTCTATTTTCTCTTGCATTTTTTAAATTTTTTTTAAGATTTTATTTATTTATTTGACAGAGAGATACAGTGAGAGAGGGAACACAAGCAGAAGGAGTGGGAGAGGGAGAAGCAGGCCTCCCACTGAGCAGGGAGCCCAACGCGGGGCTCAATCCCAGGACCCTGGGATCATGACCTGAGCTGAAGGCAGACGCCCAACGACTGAGCCACCCAGGCGCCCCTCTCTTGCATTTTTTTAAAGAATCCTTTAAACTTAGCTTCTTTCAAGAGACTCCCCACCTTGACCCCCATCTCAGGCTGACCGTTGATGTATATCTGATCGACACACTTGGGTACGGGATTTCAAACATGTTAACTTGCAGGAGCCAAGCTGGTAATATAAATAAGTGAAGGGGGCCTCCTTCACCACAACAGAGAGGTGGGACTGTCTGAAATGCCTGAACTCCATTTAGATGGGCAGCTGCTACTAGGCAGACATTGCTTTTTGTTTTTTCATGTGAAATCCTAGCGTCCTATTAACACAACTTTGATTTTTCAAAATAAGTTGGGAATCTATATTTTTAGATAAAATCTGATTTTTGAAATGCTGTCAACCATTTCAAGACTTACTAAAATATTGTTTGGTTGAACAAAACCAATGCTGTTTTCTATTATCATGAATTTTCTTACGCATGTATTCTTTTTGCCAAATGTGATCACAAACTTCTGAAGAGTCTGGGATTTTTTCATTCTATTTTCTTGGTAGTTATTATGAGGGTCCTATACTGAGTAGGCTTGAGGGATTCTTTTAAGGATAGCAACTATGATTCTGTATCAGTTCTGGCCAAGACTTGCACTCTTCTGTTTGTTCTCATTTGTCTTTTTTTTTAGTTTCAAGTTTTTATTTAAATTTCAGTTAGTTATTGCTTACATCATACACAAAAACAAATTCAAAATGGATGAAAGACTTAAATGTGAGACAGGAATCCATCAAAATCCTAGAGGAGAACACCAGCAGCAACCTTGACCATAGCAACTTCTTGCTAGACACATGACCACAGACCAGGTCTTTGCAAATGGCAAGATTTCATTCTTTTTGATGGCAGAGTAATATTCCATTATATATATATTATATATTATATATATACATACGTATATAACATATGTTATATATGTATATATATACACATTATTATATGTGTATATATATACATATATATGTATGTGTGTGTATATATATATATATATATAATATAATACACACACCACAACTTCTTTATCCATTCATGAGTTGATGGACATTTGGGCTCCCTCCAAGTTTGGCTATTGTTGATAATGCTGCTATAAACATGGAGGTGCATGTATCCCTTGGAATCTGTATTTTTGTATCCTTTGGTAAATGCTTAGTAGTGCAATTGCTGGATAGTAGGGTAGTTCTATTTGTAACTTTCTGAGGAACATCCATACTGTTCTGGCTGCAGTTTTCATTCCCACCAACGGTGCAAGACGGTTCCCCTTTCTCCACATCCTCACCAATACCTGTTGTTTCTTGTGTTGTTAATTTTAGCCATCCTGACAGGTGTGAGATGGTATCTCATCATGGTTTTCATTTGTATTTTCCTCATGATGAGTGATATCGAGTATCTTTTCATGTGTCAGCCATCCTCATGTCTTTTTTGGAGAAATGTCTGTTCATGTCTTCTGCCCATTTCTTGACTGGATTATTTGTTTTTTTGGGTATTGAGTTTGATAAGTTCTTTATAGATTTTTGGATACTAACCCTTTATCAGATATGCCATTTACAAATGCCTTCTCCCATTCCCAAGGTTGCCTTTTAGTTTTGTTGATTGTTTCTCTGTGCAGAAGCTTTTTAACTTGATGAAGTCCCAGTAATTCATTTTTGCTTTTGTTTCCCTTGTCTGTGGTGATGTGTCTAGTAAGAAGTTGCTATGGCTGATGTCAAAGAGGTTTCTGCCTGTGTTATCCTCTAGGATTTTAATGGATTCCTGTCTCACATTTATGTCTTTCATCTATTTTGAATTTATTTTTGCATATGATATGAGAAAGTGGTCCAGTTTCATTCTTCTGCATGTTGTGTCTAGTTTTCCCAACACCATTTGTTGAAAAGACTATCTTTTTTCCAATGGATATTCTTTCCTGCTTTATTGAAGATTAGATGACCATAGATTTGAGGGTCAATTTCTGGGTTTTCCATTCTGTTACATTGATCTATGTGTCTGTTTTTGTGCCAGTACCATACTGTCTTGATCACTACAATTTTGTAATACAGCTTGAAGTCTGGAATTGTGATTCCTCCAGCTTTGCTTTTCTTTTTCAAGATTGCTTTGGCTAGTCAGGGTCTTTTGTGGTTTCATACAAATTTTAGGATTTTTTGTTCTAGTTCTGTGAAAAATGCTAGTGGTATTTTGATAAGGATTGCATTAAATGTATAGACTCTTTGGGTAGTATAGACATTTTAACAATATTTTGTTTTTCCAATCCATGAGCATGGAATGTTTTTCCATTTCTTTGTGTCCTCTTCAATTTCTTTCATAAGTGTTCTAATTTTCAGAGTACAGGTCTTTTACCTCTTCGGTTAGGTTTATTCCTAGGTATCTATCTTATGGTTTTTGGTGCAATTATAAATGAGATTGATCCCTTGATTTCTCTTTCTGCTGCTTCATTATTGGTGTATAGAAATACAACAGATTAGTGGACATTGATTTT